CAAATAGCGTATTTGAACTTATATCCGCCCAAAATTTAATAAGCCAAAACCTTAATACTGACGGCTTTAGTCATGTCGAGACGTGTACCTACGCACTCATCTTATTTTTCGTAGTTTGTTAATCCCTCTTTCATAGCACTATATTTATGTAAGCTTACTCACGAATACCCCTACCTTTTGTGTTTTTGAGAAGAGTAAAGAATAAATAATTAAATTTTTTATTACGCTAGAGAAGTGAATTTTGCCAGCGCAAAATCTTCAGATTTGTTTATGCTTAATTCTTGCCATCATACTTTGGTACCATGCACTTAGGTAAGCCTAATTTTAATTAGCTATATTTGTTTAAACTTTTCTATAATATATTATCAAATTTTAAGTAAAATTAAAAAAGTATAAAATTCAAAGCGATATCAATAAATTATTCCTAATAATAAAGTCATTTTTAATAATTTCATATCACCATATTGCTTTCTACCAGAATAAAGAGCATATGCATGATTAATAAGAAATTATTATTAGTTTTTTCTCTACTGCTATCAAAGCAATCCTTTGCTAGTGGGTTATATCTTAAAAGTGGATATAATGGTGAGTTTTCTCACTATATTAGCCCTCTACAAATAAAGGAAAGTAAATGTGTAGCTGTAAACGATGGCAACCATAACATAATGAGTCTTGCTGATTATAAACCACATTATCACTCTGTGCTTTCTGCTGGTATTGCCCTTGGTTATCAAGTAGAATCATTAGGTAAGGGTGAGTTAGAGTTAAGACGTTCTCAGGTTAAGGTAGATAATATTGGATTGACAGAAGGTCCAATATTTATATCATACAAGGTAAAAGATCAACAAGAATCAATGAAAATAAGTGAGGTGAACAACGATAGAATTGAAAGCACATCTATCATGGCAAACATGTATTATCATTCGCACAATGGACGTTTTTCTTTTTCCCCATACGTTGGAGTAGGACTTGGAGCTACGCAAACAAAAATGTTTGAAGTAGAATCAGTAGATCCCGCTTATCAAATAAAAGCAGGATTCAGTCATAATGTAAGTAATAGTGTGAGTATGCAACTTGGGTATAGCTATTTTGGCGTTATTGGTAATATGTTCAAGTTGTCTAACGTTAAGTCTATGCTATGCAAGAAGAATCAGTGTAGTAAAAGCTTCATAGATAATCTTACTCTACATAGTGACTTTCTTGGCATGCATGGAATAGAATTGAGTATGACTATTCACTTTGCAAATAAGTAATAATATTAAGGTTTTTATTTTATATCTTGGGGAGATTATATGATAACAGGTTTGAGGTTTTTAAAAGTAGGCGATGGCGGAACTTTTCTCGATGCAACTAAAGGCGATACCATTGCGCGTATACAGTACGACGATAGTACACAACATCGATATACCCTAGATCTTACCGAAGGTAAGATTCAATTAAAACATGCATCGTTGGATAATAGTGGTGATGTTGCTGGAACAGAGAAAACATTCACATTCCCTAAATTCTTACTCAACAAGTTGAACGATACTTTTGTATTTAAGACTGATTTGAGTGATTATGCTAAAACAACCGACCTGAATATTAAATTGAGTGATTATGCCAGAACAGATGGTAGTAATATGACAGATGATATGTCAAATAAATTGATGAGTCATCATACTGCACAAGTATTTGATTTTTTAAGCAGTCTAGAGATGGAGTATAATGCTATGCATGGGTAAGGTCTTGTTTCATGTAGAGCGCTGCAATGCTCTGTATGATTTATAGTCAAGCGACTTGTTTGTACAAGGTATTGAAGTTTTATAGTTAAAAGGGGGAAGATATGGCAAAATTAGAGATTAGGAATTCAGAAAATTCCAGTTGTTTTGATCAAGTTATAGACAATATAACTCTTATAGATGGTGAAGGTAATCAATACAGTATCTATGTTAATGGGTACGATGACAGCCTTGGTTTATGGTATATGCAATCGCAAGGTCATACAGAAGGATATAAAATAACGGGGTTGAATGATTTGATAAGAGATTTCTTTAACTTTAGTATCAGTGAGGGTAGTCAGTTAAGTGAAACATTTGCCAGAGTAGATGGTAACAATATCAGTAAAGACAGTGGTATAGTGAATAAATTAATGAGTCATTACACTTCACAGGCGCATGACTTTTTCACTGGCGTGGAGAAGCAATACAATGCTATGAGCGATGATTAAATTTTTATTTCTGGCAAGTGAGGTATTTATTTATAGTTAACAGTAGATAATATGGCAGGAAAGTTGCGGTTCTTCGGTAGCGATCTCAGAATTATCGCTGAGAAATTCGATGTAAAAGATATATGCTTTACCGACCATCTAAGAAATCAATATAGTATAGACGTTAGTGGTGCACTTAAACTAAAGTTTACCCCATCGGGGGGTGACTCAGAAGAATATACATTAGCTGAGTTGAGTAATTGGATAAGAGATTTATTTAAGGTACGAGAGGATAATACACCTACTCTTCCTAAGAGTTTTATTCACACTAGTGACATAACAAGTTGGTGGAATAATGCTTTTAATAATTTTGCCTCTACTCAATATTATAAAGATAAAAATTATACAGAGTGGAAAAGAGAAGCCTTGCAGCTTATAGGAAGGGATTTATTAGAATGCATTAGAAGTCAAGAATGCGATCCGTCTTTTAATAAGAGAAAAAATATAGATGAGAATAATATAACAATAGAAAATTTTATAAAAGAGATTGAAGAAAGTTATGGGTTGAGGTTTTGTGCCCATCATATAGATAGCAAATGGAATGATGAATCTAAACAATCTCTATACACAAAGTATACAGATAGGATGGACATTATTCTAAAAAAAGATGAGAACGAAGCTAAATCTTGGAAATATTATATATTTCCAAAAAAAAATCCTATACAAGAAATAATAAGGATAAAAGATTTAGCTGACGTAATAGGAGATGTCTTAAGGGAAGAATCTCGAAAAGAAATCATTATCCCCATAGGTAGCACATTTGCCAAACTAGATGGTAGTAATATAACAGATGATATATCAAATAAATTAATGTGTCATCACACTGCACAAATATGTGATTTTTTAAGTGAATTAGATACACAATACAATGTGTTTGGCATAGAAGATTAACCTTCTATAAGAAGTTGTCCGCAAGCAAGAAAAGGGGTGGTGTATGAGATACAACAAGGATTTACAGATGAGAAAAAAGTATCCAATGGATCTGGAGAAATAGAGTTGTTAATAGAGAAACACCTTTAGAGTGTACCATAAGAAGTAGGAGGCCGCTAAAACATAGCAAAAGAGAAGTATTAGGAGATTTTATGTATTACTTATAGGCGCAATGGCGCTATTTGCCGAACGACTTTCCGCCATTAAAGAAAGCATATGAGCAATTTAGGAGATGGAAGAAGCAGGGGATTTTCGTAAAATGAATTACGATATCTCTAAGTATAACAGGTCCAAAACGGGAGGGAAAGAGGAACTAAGTGCTTGTATAGTGGATATCCAATTTATAAAACGACAGAAAAAAAGCAAGGGTTATGATATAGGCAAGAAAGTCAATGGTGGAAAGAGGCATATAATCACAGCATTTGTGCTTGTTTGCTATGTCGGAGCTGCCAATGAGAGCGACAGAGATAGTATAAAAATAGCATTAGATAACATGAAGAAAAAAATATAATAAAATTAGAAAAATATTCGCTGACATGGGATATCAAGGAAAAGATTTAAAAGAATATGGAATAAAAATTGAAATTGTAAGAGGTATCTGTGAAGATTTTTGGGTGCATCAAGACACTCCACCGGAATTATTAGCCCAACGAGACCCAGGACATTTAAAGTGCAGCCCAAGGGGGGGGCTTGTAGAAGACTTTTGATTGGATCAATAGGGATAGGAAGCTATCGAAAGAATGTGATTTACTTATAACATCTACTGAATATTTAATATATTTGGCCATAAGTAGGGCTGTACTAAAAGGGAAATATACTTGATTAATGGTTTGTGAACAACCTTAAACCATACAGCCCCACTATATAACTATATATTATCCTCGTTTAAAGTTATTATGTGACAAGTATTACATGGGTGCGCCAAAACAATATAGGAGGTGTGTAGAGTAATACAAAACAGTAAAGAGAGTATAGCAAAGCTTGCAGAGCACTATAATCTTAATCCGAAGGCTATTGTAAAATGGAAAAAACGCTCATTTGTTATAGACGCTGCAATTGGCCCAAAACATGGAAAATCAAAGATGTCAACTCAAGGGGAAGAAGCAATAATTGTCACTTTTCGCAAGCATATACTTCTTCCTTTGGACAATTGCCTTTATTCTTTGCGGGCCATAATTCCTTGTTTAACTCGGTCTAGTTTGCATCATTGTTTGCAAAGACACGGCATTAGCATACTGTCAGATGTTGAAGGAGAGATAAAAGCCAAAAAGAAATTCAAGCTATTCCTGATTTATTTATAGTTAATACTCGCCTTCATACTTTGGGAGGATGTAATTATCAAGCAATATATCTAAAACCTTGGGTTCCAGTAGCCAATATGGTGTAATTAAAGTCATGAAATACTTTTTATCTCAGGATATGCATGATAGGACCTTTAATCTCTTCACTAACTAAAACATTAAAAAATAAAAACGTATTTGAGAATTTAAAGCGTATTGACAATGTTAATAACACTTTACTAGGTATACTGGAATTTGAAGATTCCAGTTCTTTCTTAAATTTAAGGAAGATTTTTTATGATCACAGAACTTATTTTTTATAGATGATTTATACTAACTACCATCGAACAACAAACTATTTGATGAGTTCGATAGTATTCCTACTAAAATTCTCAAAGATATTTGTAGCGCTGAACTATACATTTCTCATAGAAACGCTAATGAAGCTTTGATATTTTTTGATTATTTACGCGATAAAAAGAAAAATAAAAATATATAGATAATTTAAAAACAGCTTTTGAAACGGGCATTGAAGTAAATCATGCACTTTTAAACAAAAAATTATTTAATCTCAAGATGAAATATTAGAAGTGATGAGAAATAAAAATTTTGATGGTAGCAAAGTAAGAGAAATACTGAATAGAGCTAATTTAGTATAGAAGATAAGAAAATGAGCTTATTGAAACGAAGTGGGAAAAAGTTTCCTGCGTACTTGACTTATGGCATACAGTATATTTTTTGTTAGTAGGTAAAAACATATTTATCATCAAATGAAGTACATAATGATCAGCAGGCAAGAGAGACTTTCTTCAGTGGTGTAGACTTGTTTCGCTTTTTTTAGGGGAAGAAGAATGGTGTAGATATGAAAAAGTACTTTCCATTATCAAATTGAGCATTTTAAAGATGATAGGTTTGTTTCACAAGTGGTCACGATCTCAAGATTATCTTTCTCATTTACTCGTTTAGGGGGTTTTGTTTTTAGACATCGGTAACGAATTTAGGTATATGTAATGAATACTCTTTTTCCATCATTAGAACTGAAGGAAGTCCACAATCTACTATAGAAACACTCTATGAAGAAATATTTGAAATGAAATTCATGGAGCTTTTTATCAAACAAAAAGTATAAAAATTATACGAGGGTATTTAGAAAAATTCAAAATCTCACAATAGAAGACCTGTTAAAGATAACAGGAATAGAAGGGTTTATTAAGATGGAAGAAAGCGAAAAGTTTTTAAACACTAAAGGAATGGTAAATTCGAGTGATCTATCCTCGTTGGCAAAATTGATAGAAAAATGGCATATATATTGCAGATGAAATCTGTAACAAATTTCATTCTGAAAACAGCATAATATAGACAATCTATGACGTATTTCAAGCATGATCCATGCTTGAGTTCACCATCTCTTCTTGATTTATGCAAAACAAGCATAACTAGAAGCTCATTAAATCAATAATCAGTTTCACAGCTACTTTAAGAGAGCAATCTACTTATATACATCTGTATATAACTCAGAGCTTTCTGGTTCTTTGCTATGTTTTGCAAAATCTTCTGATTCTTTAATTAAATTGCGTATTTCTTTATCAAACTTTTTGCATTCTTCTTCTGAAGCAATTTTTTTATCTACCATATATTTTTTCAAAGTTTCTATTGGGTCATGATTTTGTTTAACATTTTCAACTTCTTCTTTTGAGCGATAATTTGCGGGATCCGACATTGAATGACCACGATATCTATACGTTTTCATCTCTAAAAGCATAGGGCCGTTACCCGCATGGCAATGCTCAACTGCTTCGCTTGTAGCTTCATAAACAGTAAAGAAATCCATACCATCAACTTGCTTTCCTTTAATACCAAAACTTTCACCTCTTTTATATAACTCTGGTACTAAGGTGGATCTTTGTACAGAAGTTCCCATTGCATATTCATTATTTTCTATAATGTAAATTACAGGTAGCGCCCATAAAGATGCCATGTTAAACGCTTCATATACTTGTCCCTGATTTACAGCTCCATCACCGAAGTATGTAAATACAATATCATCTTTTTTCTGATATTTGCTTGCAAATGCCATTCCCGTTCCGATTGGAACTTGCGCACTAACTATTCCATGCCCACCAAAGAATTTTTTTTCAACGTCAAATATATGCATAGAACCACCCTTGCCTTTCGAGCATCCTGTTTCTTTTCCAGCAAGTTCTGCCATAATAACTTTTGGATCTGAGTCACATGCAAGCATTAAACCATGATCCCTATAACTTGTAATAAAAGCATTACCTAATTTTGATGCAGCATGAGTTCCAACAGCAACTGCTTCCTGCCCTATTGATAAATGACAAAATCCACCTATCAATCCCATTCCATACAACTGACCTGCTTTTTCTTCGAATCTACGTATAAGCAGCATCTTCTTGTAGAACCCAATGATTTGTTCCTTAGTGAAGTTTTCTTCTTTCATATTATTATTTTTTTATTAAACTCATATAATACTAGATATTTAAATATCTTATAGTAATATTTGCAATGGACTATTACCCCTGGCTTGAGGCTTTTCATGTAATTTCAATTATTATGTGGATGGCAGGTCTATTATATTTGCCGAGACTTTACGTTTACCATGCAACCATGAAGCATGGATCAGAAAGCGACATCTTGCTGCAAATAATGGAGAAAAGGCTTTTAAGATACATAATAAACCCTGCTATGTGCTTTTCACTTGGCTTGGGAATAACATTAACGATAATAAGAGAAGCATATAGAGAAGGATGGTTTCACATAAAAATGCTTGCTGTATGTTTAATGTTGATTATTCATATGCTGCTTGCAAGGCATAGAAAGGATTTTGTCACGGGTTTAAATAAGAAAACCCATACTTATTTCCGTGTTTTGAATGAAACAGTAACAGCGTTAGTTATAGTTATAGTTATTATGGCCATCGTAAAACCTTTTAGATAACTCAGAGAAAACAGCCATCAATTTTACTATTATTTACCAGATGATACACCCGATAACCATATATATCAGGTATAGAGATCGACAGACAAGTAAATCATGCGGGAAGTATTAGACGCATAATAGCGCATGTTGTTAATTAAGGTATATTTTGCTTTTTAGCTTATCACTTTCCTTATGTTTGATAAGTCTCTCTGCTTAGATCTGCAAGATGCTTGTATAAATGGTTATACAGATGGTACTATTGCTCCTATACAAACATACCTAATTGATACCAAAGGTGCTAATATTAATGCCGTGGATACTACTGCAGATGGTAGATAATTTATTATTGAGTTTTTACTCAGCAAGAGCATTAACGTTAAGGTCTGATATTAATGCAACAGGCACCACCACCTATCATAGAAACCCTATGCATGTTGCTCCTCAAGGCGGTAATAAAGATGTTATTGAGTTTTTTTCTCAGCAAGGGGTATTGATGTTGATGATACTGATCAAAATGACTGTACGCCTCTGCAATATGTTGCATGGTAAGGTGAGTTAGACACCGTTAAATCTCTCGTTAATAAATGCGCTAATGTTATGCTAAAAACAATAAAGGTAATACTCCTTTAGACTTAGCTACTATACTTCAAGTAAAATCTTTTTAGGACAATCACAACTCAATCTGATTAATGTTACAAAAGAGGGCACCTTGATCTGGTCAAAGAGTATGTTGATAAAGGAATCGGCTAGATGCTAGAGATGATGATAGTTATACCCCTTTACATTGGGCTGCAAGAAATAGACACTTAGGTGCAGTAAATACCTTATGGACAGCAATGCTAACTTACACACTATGAACGAATATGGTTATATCCCTTTCATAGAGCTGCAGAAAGTGGTGCTTTAGATATAGTAAAATACTTTTATAGAAAAAAACATCTTGATACGAACCTTAAAGATGCAATTGTTAGCCATCACTGGTCTTCACTACACTTGGCTCCGCAAGAAGGCAAGTTAGATATTTTAAGTATCTTGCGAAAAGGTGCTAATATACTTGTCCTTGATGCTCATAATTACACTCCTCTTCATAGAGCTGATCAACAAGATAAATTAAATTTAGTTCGATATTTTATCGAGGAAGTAGAAATTTTAGTTAATAAACTCAATCATTGGAATGAGTAGAGCGATCTATTTTTTTTGTAACGAACAATGGGGTCCTACTACGTTAAAGATAGCAGAAGATAATGGCCATAATACAGTAGCTTCTTATCTCACCAAAGGGGTGGTTGTACAAACGTAATCGCGCAGCATTCCAGATCCTATCCCCAACCTCTACAAACCAAAATCCAAGCAATCCATACGGAGCACCAACGAAGTTAAAAACTTCATGAAAACTACTGCAGTCTTGTCAAGTCGAGAAAAAATCCGCCTAAAATGTTTTATCTTACAAAAAAAATACTCGATAAAATGCCTCTCTTTATAAACGTATTCGTAATAGTATCTCCGCGCTTTTCGATTTCTTTTTAGAGGAGTGCATTGCTATAGCAACCCTTATCGGCTACTAAAGTAGAGTTTGAACATTTTCAGTCAATGTTTTAGCCTGTGTAATATCATTTTTTTTGATTAAGAGTAGTTGTAAATTTTAGCGGATTTCCAGGGCCTCAACAAGTGCATATATCTTTAACCCCCCAAGAAACAACTTGAAGAGAATTACTTAAGTAGATAGTGTCCCGCAACCAAAAAGCTGTTAGAAGAAGTGCTTTGGGTTTACAATGCGAGTAATAATGTTNATAATGTTGAATCTTATGTTATGCTCCTTATCAAAGTTGCGATAGACATTTGATATAATGTTAAAAATCTTGATCTCTCGTATCTTATTTTTCACCCTCACCATTAACGATATCAACTTCCGATTATGTTCCTTTTGTTCTGATGTTAGATGTTAGCGGTTTTTTTTCTATATTTTTGTATAGTAATTTTTTTTGGCTAATAATGACTCCATTTTCTTCAGTAGTAAGCAGATATTTGAGTTGTGCAAGTTAAATAAAAATCCCAAAGATGGATGTATTATGCATGAATATTTCGCCTTCTAGTGTTTTACCATGCGATTTTCTTCCGTGCCCTTTCTTTTTTTGCCTCCATTTTTCCACTACAGCCTCACTTTTTTGCACGATTTTTTCAAATTCTTCTATTTTTTAAACCCTTAATTGTCTAAAATACAAGGGGTTTTGCCACTTTTTCCTTGTTTTGTAGGGGGGCTACCCATAATTTAGTGGGTAATTATTACTGGAGTTTTTTTTTGTACAG